GGTGTCTGGCTCGATCTGGCTGCATCTTCCAATGGACGGTCACCAAGTGTGGTTTGTGACCCAGGCTTTGTCATGTCTATTTGCTTTGCTTCTGCCTGCTCCTGGACTTCTGCTTCCATGGGTGCTGCTGAACTTGTTTGTTGTAAGTGCTTTGCCTGTGCAGCTGTGTAGGATGGTTGTGGTTCTGCTGCTTGTTGCTCCGGCTCCATGTCATTTGGAGGTCGAGCAGGTGGTGGCAGAGGAGGTTGGCCTTCATCTTCATCCACCAACATGCTTGCCAAGAATTGGCGGGATTTAAGGGAATGCGTGCTTCCCACCACTTCCGGAAGCTCCAAACAATCTGCGTGGCTAGCGTGTTTGCTAGCTGGAGCCAAGAGTTGGTAGTGGCCATAAGTGTGGCCATCCTCACTGACACCAAAGAAGAAATAGAGGTGAATGGAGGGCTCGCCTTCCCCGTAGACGGTGTCCAAAAGCTTGCCATTGATGTCACCGACCTCCAGCAGGTTTTTGAAACAACCCGTGGTTCAAACAATATGCGGATATATATATATATACACATAGTGTAAACCGATATTTGTATATATATAGTTTAAACATATATATATAATATATACATACACTTTATATTACATTATATTGCACATTATATGACTATATATATACACATGTATTTTTGTGTGTATTGGGTGCAAGATACGCTTACATACTTGCTTACACACAACTGGCATGTTGCGCGGGCCTGAGTGGAGCAAGTGACCCTAATGGCAGTGCTGAGCACGTAAGAAATCCATCTCAAATCAGCAGGCCCAAACGCCGGGTGTGACTGAACTCTCTGGATGTCACGGAAGTAGGGAGATTGTGTATCATATTCTTCCAAAGCTCTTTTGCAAGCCTGTTGATGGAATTCCTTGACTTGTTTTGACTCATCCTGAGCAACCAAGAGGTTCACTGGCACTCCTTTCTGGCGATAAATGCCCTCAAATCTTTTGATGTCATGGCCTGCAAGCAAAGCATGCCAACCGCACATACCATCAGCAGGAACCTCAATCCGTTTAAGGAAGACCATCCTGGCCAGTTGCTGTTCCTGATCATGTGGCTTTGATTTTCTAAGGACCTCTGCAAGAACCGCAGCGCAGATTCTCTTGGTCGCATGCTCAAGATGACTCACTCCAAAGTCCTCGAGCCAGCACAGGTTGTACAAAAGCCTCTTCTGCACCTCCCTTGGCTGTGTTGTCCATTGGATTGAGACCCTGCGGCACTCTCCCTCAAACAGCTCCCATGCATGAGGCTTCCCAGTTGCCACTTTGGAGAAATCAATGTGGATGAAAAGCGGGCACTCACAAGAAGAACTGAACATCTTGAGCACATCAGTCAGACGGTCGTCCCAATAAGCAGGAGTTCCCGACATGATTGCACCACAGAAGTTCAAGTTTAAGGCTTTGCAGCGTGCAAGGACTCTTGAATGATCCATCAACTCTTGCAAAGAGCCCATACTTAGAACAAAGTTGGTGACATGCCACTTGCCGTTCCATGCCGGCTTCCCAAGAAGCAGTGCACATGCATCTTGGGTCTTGTAACAAAGGTTCGTGAATGTGCACATAGAACCCTTGTGGATGCATGCGCATGAAGGCGGTAAGCCCTCACTCTCCTCTGGGGCAGGCTTCATAAAGTCAGCCGTCATGTCAGTGGCATCCTGGAGCAAAGGTGGTCCGGACAAAGAGGAAACCATTTCTTGAAGGTCTCCAGGTTTCTCCGAGCTCAATGTATCAGCTGCTTTTTCCAGTGCTACTGCGGGCTTTGCGACTTGCTGCGCCTTTCTCAGGCCTTGAGCTAAAGTCCCCTGTTTTGATGAACTTCCCAGTGAAAGCAACCATTCATATGCAACCTTCAGGTTGTCAACCTGCTTGGAAAGAGTCTCTGTGCCATTGAGGTCAAAGGTCACCTTGTATGTAAAGGCTTTGTCACCCAACTCAACCTTGCTGTTCCCGTGCAAGCAGCCGGAGAGATCGACTGCTGCCAAGACCATTTTCTCACATTCCAGGCATTCACCACGCATGCATTTGACAACAAGGAAGCTCTTTTGGACTGCCAGAGTTCCTTTCGTAGAGAACCCTCTGCTCTCCATCCAAGTCTTCCTTTCAGCAGCCCCCGCCTCAACAGGGAAGTGTGTGAACTTATATACTGTATAAACATTGTTGCGATCCCTTCCAAAGGCCTGGGAGGGGGGATACTTAGAACAAGCTCCTCCATGTCTGAAAATAAGTAGGTATGACTTCCTTGTCCCTTTTGACCCTTATAATTATACAGGTTTAACAATTCTTTCTCACCTCAGTAGGTTTCAAAACTCTTGAGCTGCTCCAACAAAAATTGCGCAGGCCTTTCCACGCAGCGATTCAAACTTTGCCACCATAGACTTGACCCCTTCAGCAAAGGCAACCGCAGCGCGCCGACAAGATGCTGCATTGGGAAACTGGTTGGTGAGGAACTTGCGGCAATTCTGGTCGATCTTAACCTGCAACCTGAGTTGATGCGATCCCTTCCAAAGGCCAGGGTGGGGGGATACTTAGAACACGCTCCTCCATGTCTGATATTAGGTATTACTAAAGTCCAAAGAATTCACCACTCCCTCTCCCTCTCCGTTTTTGTTTCCTTGTCGCTTTTGACCTCTATATACAGGTTTTAGAATTTGTTCTCACCTCAGTAGGTTTCAGACCTCTTGAGTTGCTCCAACAAAGAATTGTGCAGGTACAACTGCCCAGTCAAACCAGCTTGTCATTAATATACTTAGAACACCGCCAATTGGGTTGGAACTCTTTCCGGAAAAACATGGCCTCGATTATATTAGTGCTTGCTGCAGCGCGCATACTCTGCTTTACCCTTTGGAACACATTCCCCAAATCGCTGTCAGGTTTTCCTTTGCAGGTGAGGCATGATAATCTAAAGACAACCTTTTTCTATTGAGAAATTTAATCAATTAAACCCAGCTGGAAAACCTATTACTTAGAACATCCCTCATGAGCCATGTGACACCTACATTTCTAAGGGCTCCAAGCTGTACATCCTTTGTTCACACAGATGTAAAGCAGTAGCATGGACTATTCTTTTGGGTTGGTTCCTGCGGGTAAGTCACTTTGAAATTCAGGGACCGCCCTCCTAGTAGCCTAGAAGCAGACAGACTCCCTCGGCCAAACAGCTTGGCAACAACACACTTAGAACAACACCCATTGATGTATATTTTTACTTCCAAGAATGCTAATTACACAATATGCTGGGCCTGTCTATGTGGGCTCATCACGGTTGACATTCTAAATCACACATATTGCCCCATATCTCTTGGATTACCTTCCCCAACCACTCTGTTCACATCATAAACCAGAAGAATGGCACATGTCCAAGTTAGCCAACAATGGGGTAAACCTACACTTAGAACAATGATGCTGGCCATCTCAGCCCCAACCCCCTGCTCCTTGCTGCATAGAATCCCATATCCGAATTCTTTGACTTCTGGTGGAAGATCAGGAAGATCCCCCATTGCGTGAGTGAGGCGACCCTATCGACTCCAAGAAAAGTGATTGCTACAAAGTGAACATGGCTGGTGATAGCTACAGGACGGTTCAAGTTTGGCATGTGTTCCACCGCATTTTGAGATCAAATTGTCAAATCACCAGCAGTCCTCTATATTCTACATATATATATATATATACGTGTAGTGTAGAGTGCAAACCTGACCAATTTGCATAGTTTGATTGCCTTTCCTCTCGAGTGTGCATGTTGGAGCCACATTCTGAACACCATTGTCAATAGAGTCCTGTGATGTCCGCACACTTGGAACATAGGTTCCACAATCATTGCCATTTGCATTTCCTATGATTTAGCTTTGCATCATCGGACACATACTTAGAACATATGTTCTCTTGTGTCCCATCCCCCAAAGTGCTTCCAGCCCTGCAGAAAGCATACACTTAGAACATCCCTATCCACCTGCAAGACGTGTCTTGGCATTTGCTGACTAAGTGATATACTTAGAACATCTCTCGCGGGTCTCTTGGAAAAAAAAAAAGTTTCCAAAATATCTTCTAAGTGTTTGTCCGTAAGTATATATATATAGTATATACAGTACAGTATACACACACACGTGCATCTACTATAATCATAGAGAACATAGAGATTGGGGAACTGTGAATGTTGATCATTTCGCATTCCATTGATGTTTTGGGTATGCAGATGTTTCGGTCTTGGCGAGGCTGGAGTTTCAGCGTTGCAAATTCTGCTTGAACGTGGCTTTGATCCTAACGCGGCCCCATTCAGGGTGTCGACCGGCACTCAGCGTTGAGTTAGCTAAGACCCCACGGCATTCAGCACAAAAGCCCTTTACGCTGTTTCAAGGCCGCTGTTGCTGGCAGCTCTTGCAGGGACCGGGCAGGGGCAGCACTTGCAAAAGACTCAAATACTAAATATGTGTTTGTGATGTCCTTTAGGTGACCAAGCCTGCCTCCAATATATACAGCCTAACAATTTCCTTTACAAGTAGTTGTGCTCGCTCCATATACTCTGCATTGTGGATCTGGAATGAGCTCGGCACTTTAGTGAGTGGCCAAGAAGGAGATGGAGAGAAGCGAAGCCAGGAATCTTCATGCTGCACAATTTCTGTACGTTCGTGGAGCCGACATGCACCAGGGAGGAGGCAGGATAAAGCCGGAACCCAGTGGTGTCCATCTAAGGTGCAGTTCCTTTGTTTCAAGATATTGACACTTGAGAATCTCCCAGTGCACAGTTTGGAAAGAGTGCCGAGCTTTCAAGTACTTGGACTGTGTGAGGAGTTAGCCAGCATCAGCAGTTGTTGCCAATTGATGGGGCGTCGGCATGTGGATTCATTCGTTTGGTGCCCAGACCACGTTACCTGCGTTTGCTTGGCTCAATGTGAAAAGACAGACCCACACTAGCTCTTGATTTCGCATGAAGGTGTGCAACGCTCACCGAGGCCTTGTGGCCTTTTTCCGAGAGAACGGCTCCACTGGGGCTAGAGCGTTGCATTTTGCAGCTAGCCAGGACCTTTGCCGCTTCTCATAGCAAGTTGCGAAAGCAAAGCACAAGACATCACTAAGGTGGGGGGCATCTTGATGTTTGCAAGTACCTGCTTGCAACAGGGGCCTGACGCTTGAGAACGTTCCACTGATTTAGCATATGCTTTTTCAATCACGTGTTTAACAAATATAGCCTAGCTAATTATACATTGTTTGCTTCATGTTGTGTCTCGCCACGCAAGTCATGCAATGCCGCACCTTTGCAAGGTGAGTCCAGATTTGAAGGCTGACAAAGGACTTTCAGCCTTCACGCTTGCCATGTTGTGCGGGGAGTGCTTGGCTGCACTTGTGGCAACCTCAATGATTGCTTGAGAATCGCACAGAATCACATGGTGGTGAGAACACACACACACAATCACTTCCCTGAAAGTTCAGCGGACAAAGAGCACAAAGTCCTACATAATTAGTACAAGTGCAGTCTATCCCTCTTAGTCTTATGTTATGTAGTATGTTCACAATCCAAGTGAACATGTGGAGATCTTTCAGATGCCACATTAGTTCTCTCAGATTTTCATTATTTGTCTAAAGAGCTCTTTTGTAGAGGACGCTTTTAAGGCAACTGAACCATTTGTCAGGCCTTCATGTTGCTTTGCATTTCTTCATTGTATGCATGTTCGTGATCATCTGGTTGATGTTCTCAGCTCAGGTGTTGCTGCCCCATTGCTCGCCTGCAAATCTTGAGGAGGTCTTGCTCATTCTTTGTGCGCTCATAACAGGGTTAGAGTTGCAGAGCTTCAGTTGCAGGCTTTGCCAGGAGAAGTTTGCTGGCGAGTAGGCGAAGTGCAATCTGCAATCTCAGCTCTTTGCAGTGTGACCTCACGTGAGGCTTAGCAGGTGGATCCACTGTGCTGCATTTGGCGGCGCATTTGGGGGGAACCAGGGTCTTGCTGTCTTGTTTTCGTTTGATTTATGTTTCCAGATCACAAGTAAAGAGTGTGTGGCGGGCCAACTAGTGTCGTATGAGACTACAGTCAACATTGGTGTTACCGGTGTTAACGTATTTTCAGATTCCGGTCCTGCCATCAAGCACCATCGAATCAGAAGAAGCAGTAACAACCAAAGTTTCGCCCTAGGCTCTGGACGAATATGCGCTCGGTGAGACGTTTTCGGAACCTTGTGCTTTCCACATGCCAGGAGAGGCTCCTTGCTCCCATCTTGGAACGGTGTCCTGTGCTTTTGAACCGTGCGAACTGGGCGCAGGAGCAAGATTGCCACTTCAAGAAAAAGACTAAACAAGGTTTTGTTTGAACATTCTGACCCAGCATTGCAACATTGGACCTGCAGTATCATGTAACCCAAACAATAATTAATGTTCTGGCATCCCGAAATCAGAGAAGTCACAGGAGATTCCGGCAATGCTGGCGCCGGCAATGTTTGGCACTCGGAATGGATGTGTTTCCAGTATACTAGTTATGCTCTGCATGGGTTTTGATGTGCATTCTTGTAGAGCATAGGTAAAAAAAACTAGACTGGAACCTGCTACATAGTTACTGGGAGCGATATTGTGCCAGGAGGACAAACATACGATTGCTGTAATATAAGAAGAAATTGGTGTGGTGGTGTGCGTTGCAAGACGGAGTAGTCCTTGAGCTTGCCAAGATCATTTAAGGTGATTTGCAGTGGGTTATGCTAGTGCATTGTGACCTTGTGGCGAGTTGTGGTGTCCTGTGCTGTTGTGTGAATTTGTATAATATGGTGACCTTATATAGTGTGATTTCTGCAGTGAGTTGTCAACCTGGCAAGGCTGGTGCAGGTGTTGTTACCTTCTATGCCCAGCAAGTACGAGAGATAGCATTGGTTGCTCGCTTCCTTGTAATTTTGTGATACTGTGCATCAGATGTGGATTGCGCCTGGTTGCACTTTGGAAGGCTCAGTTCGTAAACTTCCGTGGGGGTGCATTATATTCACGTGATTGATCATGATTGCCCATTGTTAATTTTCCCTAAGAATCTATAGTAACCAAATGAATTGAATAGTACGAGGGCTTCTTCAAAGAAGCTTCCCCGCCGTCTGTAGGGGGGCGGGGGCAGCATCCTTGAAGAAGCCTGAGCTTTCATGTGTCGGCTCACCTCCTGCAAGAACCTGAGCCCTAAGCGTCCAAGGTAGTAGCAGCCAGGTAGAAGCCTATGCTTGCCACTACCTGCTTCATCCTGCTTCCTATACCACCTGCTTATCCTGCTCCCTGTATTTTCTTACCTATCAGCTGCATGGCCTATATACCCATGGCCTACCCGGCCTACCCCTCCAAAAAGTTTGTGCCCAGGATGCGACCTACTTTGCAGCCCCGATCACTTCACGCCTTTGAAGCCCTTGGAGAACTGAGCTTGGAATCCACTTGGCTGTAAGTTTTTTTGACTTCTGGAACTAACAACCAGAAGCAAATTTCAATATGCTTGAAGACCTATTATATATATATATATATTACGAAAGCCAGCCGGTAGGCATGGCTGAGTTGTCGATGGGCGAATGAAGTGAGTAATAGGGGGGTGGTGGAGTCTGGTTGGGGAGAGCGAAAACAATGAGGGTCCAAAAGGTAGTGAACATGTATGTGTTAGGGGTCTTGGTGATGCGAGTGATGCAAATGACGCTGAACAGTGCAGCATCACATAGCATCACGAAGTGCTCAGGAGTCCATCCAGTTAGAATACCTATAGCCAAATCCCTTCCAGGATCAAACACACTAGGGTGTCAAAGCCGGTGCTTATTTGTACAGACGTCTTTTTCCCCAAACAGTTTACTGTTAGGGGTTCTCAATGCTTTAAAGAATGGTCGCCTTGGTGCTGGATGGTCTGGTCGGGCTCCCGGCCGGCTTGTCTCCCACCTTTCATTTGTCTCCCAGTTCTTTTCATTTGTCTCCCAGTTCTTTTCATTTGTCTCCCAGGCTGGATGCTTGTGGTCGGGTTCCCGGCTGGCTTGTCTCCCACTTCCTTTCATTTGTTTCCCAATTTGTCTCCCAGGCCACTTCCTTTCATTTGTCTCCCACTGCTTTTCATTTATCTCCCACTTCTTGTCATTGTCTTTGTCTCCCACTTCCAATTTGTCCCCCACTTCTTTTCTCTTGTGTCCCAGTTCTTTTCATTTGTCTCTCAGGCTGGGTGCTTGTGGTCCGGTTCCCGGCTACTTCCTCGCCCCTTTCCGCTGGCGATGCAACATTTCTGTTCGTCTGTCTCCCAGATCTGTCGCTGGTGGTGTCCGCCCTTTTCCGCTGTTTCTATTCATTTGGCTCCCATGTCTGTCACTGCTAATTTCCGCCCTTTTCCGCTGGCCATGCATCATTTCTATCTCCCAGGTCAGTCACTGCCAGTGTCCGCCCTTTTCCGCTGGCCATATAGCATTTCTATTCATCTCCCAGGTCTGTCACTGCTGGTGTCCGCCCTTGTCCGTTGGCCATGCAGCATTTCTGTTCATGTGTCTCCCAGGCCTGTCACTGGTGGTGCCGCTGGCCATGTAGCATTTCTTTTGTCTCCCAGGTCTGTCACTGCTGGTGTCCGCCCCTTTCTGCTGGCCATGTAGCATTTCTATTCGTTTGTCTCCCAGCCTGCACTGCTGGTGTCCGCCCTTTTCCGTTGGTCATGTAGCATTTCTGTTCATCTCCCAGGTCTGTCACTGGTTCCGCCCATTTCCGCTGGGCATGTAGCATTTCTATTCATTTGTTTCACGGGTCTGTCACTGGTGCTGCCGCCCTTTTCCGTTGGCCACGCAGCATTTCTATTCATTTGTCTCCCATGTCTGTCACTGCTGGTGTCCGCCCTTTTCCGCTGGCTATGCAGCATTTCTATTCATTTGTCCCCCAGGCTTGTCACTGGTGGTGTCCGCCCTTTTCCGCTCTTTCTATTCATTTGTCTCCCAGGTCTGTCCGCCCTTTTCCGTTGGCCATGTAGCATTTCTAATCATTTGTCTCCCAGGTCTGTCACTGCCAGTGTCCATCCTTTTCCGCTGGCCATGCAGCATTTCTATTCATCTCCCAGGTCTGTCACTGCTGGTGTCCGCCCTTGTCCGTTGGCCATGCAGCATTTCTATTCATGTGTCTCCCAGGCCGGTGGTTTCCGCCCTTTGCCGCTGGCCATGTAGCATTTCTATTCTTTTGTCCCCCAGGCTGTCACTGGTGTGTCCTTGTCTATTGGCCATGAAGCATTTCTATTCATTTGTCTCCCAGGTCCGTCACTGCTGGTGCCATGTAGCATTTCTATTCATTTGTCTTTCAGGTCTGTCACTGGTGGTGTCCGCCCTTTTCCGTTGGCCATGAAGCATTTCTATTCATGTGTTTAGGTCCGTTACTGCTGCTGTCTGCCCTTTTCGTCGGCCATGCAGCATTTCTATTCATTAGTCTCCCAGGTCTGTCACTGTTGGTGTCCGCCCTTTTCCGCTGGCGATGCAGCATTTCTATTCATTTGTTTTCCAGGTCTGTCACTGCTGGTGTCCGCCCTTTTCCGCTGGGCATGCAGCATTTCTATTCATTTGTTTCCCGGGTCTGTCACTGGTGCTGCCGCCCTTTTCCGCTGGCCATGTAGCATTTCTATTTATTTGTTTCCCATGTGATTTCTTTCTTTTTGTCTTTCAGGTTTGGTGCCTGCACTGCTGTTTCTGCCCTGTCCGCTGGTACAGGTTCGCCTGTGAAAGGTTCTTGCTCCTTTGCAAGGGGTGCGTGACTGTCTCCGGGATTGCATTCCTGCCACACTGTGTAACTCTCTCAGCTTTGTTTTCCTTTTCGGGCAACCGTTGGATGCATGACCGGATTGGATTTCGGCGGCGTGGCAGCGATCTCTCTGTTCAGTTGGGGCGGAGGGCATACGTCAGGCACCAAAAATCAATTTCATGTCACATCCTTCGCTCCTCATGCTTTTGTTTCTTGTCCTCACGTTCAGCTCCCCGCTGACTGAGCAGCGTGACCAGCATCATGTTCGCGCTTGAAGAATAATTCCCCAAAAGGTTTACTGTTAGGGCTTCTCAATTCTTTCTTAAGATGTGTCCGCCCGCTCTGTACTGCTGTGTCCGTCTCTGCCTTGCAATCCTTTACATTTGTCTCCCAGCTTTGGAGGTCGCAAGCTCTAGTTTCGATTTTGAAAAACACAAACTGTTTGGGGTCTGGGGGGAAAAGATCTTGCAATAGCCAAAATGCATGCGCACTTGTGCCCAGGGGTCTTGGATTTTGTAATGACGCTTTGTTCTCGATATGGCTAGGTGATTGGCTGCAAAAATTTAAGAGCAGATTTTTCCTCAGGCTGGGGGCCTTGAATTTGTCATTCCATGATCAGGCCCCCCAAGCCCGTTCATCTACCAGTATCAGTTGGAGAACATTTGCGGACCTCCTTTTAGCTACAAAAAAACATACTGCAACAAACGAGGGCACTCCATATTGAGGTGGGCTCACCAGATTCATCAGTCCAGGTAGAGGACAGGAGAGAAAATAGAATGCAGACAGGAACCCCTGAGTGTTTTGTATTGTGAAAAAGGCTTTTAACCGGAAGAAAGAGGGCACCCCGCAGAGCTGTAAATGTCCAAGGGGGTCGGACTTTGTACGGATCATGGCCTGTAACAGCGGATGGGAGTTGATCGAGGCGTTGTGTATATAGGCTCTATCATATGGGCCTCAATGCGAAACTCTGCGTCTATTTCCCAGGGGCTAACAGCAGTAGAGGTCGGTGCAACGTCGACTTCGCCCTATAACAACAGTTGTATATTATTACAGAGGCTGGCTTTCGTTGGTAGTTATTCAATGTTCCCGCTTTTTCAGTATGCACCCAACTCATAGTTTGCATTGAGTTTCTGAAGGCTTGCCCCGAGGGTGCTGGCGTCGAGGACCGCATCAAGGTTGCAACTGCCGGTGCTGGCAGCTGAGTTGCGGACTTCTAACTGAACATTGCTAAACTGCTAAACAAAACAACCGTTTTCATGTCGTTTTGTCAAACCAAACAGGGTTGCAAAGCGTGGCAGAGTGTTTTTTGCAGTCTCTGAATAGTCAGGTTCTAGGTGAAGATGCCAGTGCTACTGACGACCAGCTGAAGGGCGAAATGTGTGCAAAGGCCACAGAGGAAATGGTTTGGTAGTTGTCGCCATGTTTTTTTACATGTTTTTAATGTTTTCACAATGCTTGGTTGCAGAGGTTCGCAAGCGTGCAATGTGAAACTGGCAGCATGCTACTGTTGATTCCAAACCAAGGTCATTTGCATGGAGGGCCCATCAGATGGTGTACCCTCCTTGGCCTACCTGTAGTTTTCGCATGGCAGGTGTGCTTGAAAGAATTCGCCATTGACCACAAGACCTCAGAATACCTCAGGTCTCTAAGTGAAATCTATTCTAAAGTTCTATAGACACCTGAGGACACACCCTTCACTCGCCTTTATTGTGGCCATTGCTTCCATCGTGGTTGTCTCCAGCTGAGCCTTTCTGTGCCAAGCCTGTTGGTTTGTTTGTTTGTTGGCCGTTGCCCTCACCCTTGCTCAATTAAGTAGTGCTACTAGCTGTGCCAAGGTTTGGGTGGCTGGCGCGCGGAGGGACAGAATGGAGCATCGTGTATCGCCCTTATTCATTTCAGGTTGAGGCACAAAATGACACAAAGCACAGATCGATAGACCAAAGACAACTGCTCAAACCACCATGTCTTTATATAGACGACATGCGTTGAAGCCCTCGAAATTCCAAAAGACTGACTGACTCAAGGTCTTGAAGCCTCGACAGTTAAGCAGGGGAGATGTCAATGATGTTGCGCAATCAATGTTGGTGGTGTAGTGTTGTATGCAATTCTTACTGCAGAATGCTGCGAAAATATCAGCAATGCCAATGGTTTTTCGAGTCACTCTTGTGAAGAAAAGCTCGGCTCAAGTATCACAAATGCTGTCCAAGCTGTGCTGAGAATACCGGCAGAGCGGCCAAACCCACAACCAACAGGAGCAACCTTGAGTAAGAGTTAGTCCACCCACAACCATTGTAAAGAAGCAAAAACATTGCCAAAGACCATCAAATACTGTAATCATTTGCATAAACTCTGAGAAGCTGCTCCCGATCCTGCTTCCCAAGGTCCTGCCTGTCGCAAGCCGCTGCCAGAGCCAACAGCTCGTGCAGAGGTTTCTCCGGCAACAATTGATCGATTGTGCCGCTGCACCCTTCCGAAATTTAGGCATACACACTCAGGTGGCTTGTGTGTAGTAGAATGGCAAGTTAGTAGCTACGCTCTTGAATGTCAAATTGCTGAAGGCTGGGGGTATCACACTGCTGGAGTTAGCAACGCTTGGCAACGACAACAACTTCGCATCTTTGCTGCTCTCAGTGGGAGCCGGTGGCAAGGCTCAGGGCCAAGTTTCACACCTTCTTTGCTTTGAGATCCTGTTTCAAGAGAAGCATACCTTCGATATCTTTTGATTCTTGAGGCGACAAAGAGTTCCGAAATAACTTCTTTGATGTGGGCTGCAGCCTCTGAGGGGCCTTGCACAACCAATCTCTACCTTCGGATGGGTTTGTGGAATTTTGAACGTACTTCAAGTTTTGAGCCAACACCATGGCATGGATATTTACAGCCTTCGGCATGCCGCCGGCCACCAGCTCGAGCCCGCATTGGCAGGCAGCTTAATGATACAATACCCTGCTCAATCATACTTGTTGGTGCATTGGAGTTGCACATTTGGCTGGGTGAGTTTGTTGATGTTTATTTCAAGGTTGTTTGACCATGAAATGGAACGAATCCGAATCAGAGGTTGTCTATTCTGATCCAGCGATCCGAACCGGCATGTCTCAGTCGAATCACCTAAGAGGAACCAATTGAAACCAACACAAGCAATGCGAACCAAGACTATCCACAAAACATGACCTTGAAAACGACTCTTCTTCCAAACTACTTGGCCGTTTGCATGTTTTCCTTTTCAGATCTTTTTTTTCGACCGTCTCGAGGGACTGCGACACGCACCAGATATTCTTTTTCACACACAGAAGGCTTCAAAGCGACCGAAGAATTTCTAGATCTGGCATGATTTGTCGTTTTTTCTCCAAACCGTTTGAAATGAAAGACCTAGAATGACATCAAACAACAATACCCTGCTCAATCAGACTTGTGGGTGCATTGGAGTTGCACATTTTGCTGGGAGAGTTTGTTGCTGTTGATTTCAAGCGAAGTCGTTTTACAATGAAATGGAACGAATCCGAATCAGAGGTTGTCTATTCTGATCCAGCGATCGACATGTCTCAGTCCAATGGTTGTCTATTCTGATCCAGCGACCTACTACCTACTACGTACTACCTACGACCTACTCGACCTACTACCTACTACCTACTACTACCACCCCTACTACCTACTACCTAGTACCTACTACTACTACTGCTACTACTACTACTACTACTACTACTACTGGGGGGGGGAGAGGGGGGGGGCGTCAGGCTGTCGAAAAATCCGCGCGGAGAGAGAAACCGTAGATTGAAACCAACACAAGCAATACTAACCAAAACAATCCACAAAACACGCCTGCAGGCCGGCGGATTTTCAAGATAGTGTTGGTTCTTGGTAAACTCTTGACTTGCTTGTGGAGGTTAGGGTTGGGATCAAAAAACGGTTGATTGCTGTTTGGCAGGCTTATGGGTTGAGCCTTTAGGGTTGCAGCAGGTTGCGGTTTTGGATGCTCTTGGGTTTGGTCCGTGCCGCACTGTCTCTGACGCCAAGCAGCTTTCCGTTGGATTGTATCCTCTTTTCCTACTTTTCCTCACCCAACTTGTCCTTCGAGGGCTGTATTGGCCCACAGGAATGTCGAATATTTTCGTTGTCCCAGCCATGAAATTGGTGATGTACCAACAGTACTGAACTTGAAAGCACAGGCACAGTGTCAACAAGCAATGTGACCAGCACCAGCTGGTTGATACCTGCTTTGTATTTCTACCCCAGAAGACCTTAGATGACAGTAGCATACAGTAGCCAAGATGTGAGAGGCCACTTACTTTGAAAACTGTTTGTGGGTTTGGACTTTGCATCAGTCTTCAGAATCATTCTTTATGCTAAGGCCCACTGGAAAGGATGTGAAGCAGTTGCGTCTGTACTTACCTCCAAAGGCACATGAATCAGTCCAGGAGTCCAGGACTCAGCAGATTTGTTCAGGGTCGGAGTTTGTGTCGAGGCTGGCAGCTCACCAACAGTGACTTGGAAGGACTTCTCACCATTTCAAAAATGTCCAATACATTCAAAAGCAACCGCACGCAGGCCTGCAGAACCTTCGGAATGTGCAGCGTCGTGCAAGCAAGCAACAGCAGGCAGGGGCATGCAACTCGTGAAGAAGAACCAGAGAAACTACTGTATATACAGTATGATTGATTACTTACTTATTATATCTTATTATAACTGTGTTCATAATATAACACAGTTAAAGTTTAACGTAGCTGGATGCCGACAGGCCGAAGAGGGCGGAAGTAGCAGCAGCAAACCTTCAGGGCATTGGCCCTAAGATCTCCAGCAACGGAAGACTTGATGCTGCCCGTAACTTGCCACATATCATGTATTTGAGGCCTGACCAAAAGAAGCGACAAACTGAAGAGGAATTTAGAATCCTTGTGCCATTATGATCCACTATGTATATAAATTTAGTTTGCAGAAGAAGCTGGCGTAGCAAACGTGCATTGTCCAACGCAGTAGATTTTTCAGGAGAGAGAGAAGGACAAGGAAGAAGAGGATGAAGACGAACAAGCAATCGATCCTACAGTGTCCCTCGACTCAAGCTGCACGTAGTAGATGCAATATGATGCAATGTTGTTGTTGTTGCTGTTGTTGTTGAGAGACAGTTGCCCTCTTTTGCTGGGGGGACATTGTTGATATAGCCGAACGATTGGAAGCAACGCGCCATGGCTTCCAAGACGACAGGCTGCAGCTGCTAGAAGTTAATGTACCTGCTTTGTGGCACCACCTGTGTGTTGCGGTCTCAGAACTTTAGATCGAAGTTGAAGTTGTGGAAACACGGCCCTTATCTTGTGCAGTTTCTGGACTCAGGCAGTCAAACATAGCGAAGCTGTCCTCGAATTAAGGGCTTCTGTCCCAGATTCTGAACTCGTTTCGCTTGTCTGTGAGTTTTGGCGACTTCACAGCACGTTTGCTGTTCTGCATCTCAAAGGTTCGGATGGCCTCGACTGCGAAACCTCAGTGCAGAACCCAGATCAGACACACTTGGTTGAACCTTGCCAAGTAGATTGTGGTTGGATTTCGGATCTTTGGATGCAATAATTCATATCGTGCTTGTGTTTTGTACTTCCCTTATCACTCTCTCTCTCTCTCTCTCATGTTCTTTTTGTCTCATGCGCGTGAAAGAGTGCAGTACACTGTTTACTGTATTTATTGTTCACAAGAATTTGACACAAACAGCTTGCAAACAGTTTCGAAGCCTTGACCTTGTGATCATTGTGACTCATGCGGCTAGGTCAGTGGCCACTGCGGAAAGACCCAGGGTCGCTCCGTCATCCTTAATCACACAGTTTGCGTTCTTGCACCTGCTTCAAAACTCAGCGACTCTTTCTGTTGGACTCTTAGCAGGTTGACGACCCTCAACCAAGCGCTGCAGAGTTTTTAAAGGCCTGCAGAGTCGCGTCCGAGTCCTTATATATCTTTGCACCTTTTCAAGCAACGCTGGAATTTCTATCCAGCCAGCTTGTCAGTTTTTCAACTAAGGCTACTGAATGCTGGTGAGTCCAGCATTGCTGCTGATGCCACTTTGGAGGCTTCCGGTGGCTTTGTTCCATTTCAAAACAACTTCAATCACAAGAAGCACCAAAACCACACCCTCGATCCATGAACACTTCCAGCTGTGGGCCACTCTTGGCGCCCGATCCAGTGTTGGATGGTATCAAGTCCCACCAGCTCGTGGAACAAGTGGTCATTGTTTCAATTACTTCCTTGTAAGTTCCTGGTCCCTGTTAGCCAAAGGCAAGACACAAGGAGTCCTCCTTGTTATCAAGCTCTTGTAGGCAGAGTCAGAGCACCCCCACGTCGTCTGAAGTGACAGTGGCCAGGATCAGAAGAACTTGGGTAATATAGTGCCGGGTGAGAGTGAGAGCCTTGCAAACAGTTTGTTGAGGGCAAACCAGTTTGGTGCTGAGAGAAGTCCACTTTATATAAGGGAACGAGGCTATGTGCACCTCCAGTGAACACGATTGCACCAGCGGACTACATAGTTGAGACGAAGTTGCTTCAACATCACATCCCCACCAAGCTAGCTTGCGAGGACACCGCTTTCCCACCATTTGCATCCGCACCATTCTTCTTAATCCCCACCATTTTGGTACAGGTGATAGAATACGGTGCAACTGATCAGTGGTGGGTTCATGTTCTATTCCTCGTATTTATCAATCAATGTATCGCCTTTGTTTTGCGTCCTGCTTGACATCGAATGACAACACGTTCCGCAAGGCAGCAAAACTATTTGCGCTTCGGCGGTTCGTTTGGCTCCTAGCAGTGGTGGAGATGCCCCAATTTGATATTGATTAGAAACACACAGACAACTACAACAAACGTCATTAATTAAGCCTGAGCCCTTCCGCATCTTGCCGCCTCAGAAGCTACTCAAGCTACTACTTACCCTGTACTACTAGCTTCTGGTTAGCCCACCCTGGCCTAAACCCCTCCCGGGGCAAAAACATGTCAAACACGTCTGAGGGCTTTGACACTTTCGAGTTTCTAACAGATTGAACTCGATGGATTTTCGAGGCTGAAGGGCAAAGCCTGTCTATTACGTCTGCTATGGCGCTTCGCCTGATACCCAGAGCTTCATCTACCATTCACAGCTTTAAGTTTGACAAGATGCATCAAAACAAGCTGTCAGATTGTTTTGCGGAAAGTGTTGCGACCAGTTCAACATCAAGTTGGTTCCAAGACCCCAGTCCTCCTGCTAAATATTGCACATAGTTTCAAGGTTTTCTTTGTCTTCCAAGGCCTTGTTCTAGGAGCTAAACCAGGCTCAGGGAGGCCCGCCTGCTGAGCAGCGTGCTTGGCATTTGTCGTATTAGGTGCTAACATCGCTTGGCACAGATAATTGCTCAGAAACAACATGGCAAGCTTTGTACATACAGACAATATATAGTTGTATGGCGGAAAGACACACACACACTCACATTCAATCAAATCAATTGGTTATATAATGTTATATTTATATATATTTGAGCCTTGGAGCTCGAGACCTCTAAACTCATGTTGGCGTTTGGGTTTTGGGAGGCTTTTGGCAAAGTTGTCCGAGAGCTTCATGGCACTGTGCTCACAAGCGCCATTGCGTCCGGCAGATGAGGCTGTTGGCCAGTGTCAGGCATCATTGGCATCAGTCATTGAGCCAATGTTTTGCAGGAAGTGCTGCCCCTCCTGACCCAATTGCAGCTTGCAGTGGAGGTTGTTGCAGAAGCTTTCAGAAGCAATTGCACCAAAACCGAGCTTAAGGAAGCAAGGATTGCACACAATCGTTGCCGCCAAACATGCCCGCAGCCATTGACAATGGAATAGAGGCCGACAGAACTTCACAGTGTTGGCAAGACAAGGAAGTTCTTGTCCATTTCAACACTCAGTTCCCACACATTACGAGGTTGGACATAGGACTGGTGGTCCAGGAATATCATAGTCAATCATTGCAACAAGACATTGTTTGTTTGCGAGGTAGCATGCATCAATCCCAATGTCACGCGGCACGCCATGCTTGGTGACTGGTCATGTCGCCATGTTGAAAATAAGGTCCGCAATTCGCTGTATGCAACATAAACATGCATACATCTTGCATCTTCAATATATGTTCAAATTATGGCATGTAACATACGGTGTAAATGAGTACTAGTAAGATTTGGTGACACCTGTGCAGGCTGGCCGGCTTCCCTTCCTTGGAAGATACCATCAGGCTCCAAGATGCTTGGAGGATGACTATGAAGTCACAAACACTGCTTTGACCTTATGGAACACTGAAGTCAGAAGTCAATCCGTGGGGCTCCAGAGCAGCTTCTTTGATGCAGTGCCAACAGGCATCCAATGAGGTGCTTGGGACTGGCGCAAGCGGAGATGTTCTCTTGGGGAAGTGTCGTGTGCAGCCTTCTCGACAAGTGGCAATCAAAACCGCTAGAGTCTTTGTTGCATTTTGTTGCACTAAGTCACTAGGAACAAAGGGCATCGCTACTAGGAGCAAGGACGCTACTAGGGGCTCCTGGCCTTACTACTAGGAGCAAGAAGCTACTAGGGGCTCCTGGCATCGCTACTAGGAGCAAGGACGCTACTAGGGGCTCCTGGCCTTACTACTAGGAGCAAGAAGCTACTTGGGGCTCCTGGCATCGCTACTAGGAGCAAGAAGCTACTAGGGGGGTACCTTGGGTGGGCACCTTGATGCACCGATGCACCTTGCCAGAGCACCAAAGTACCATCACAGCACATTCTTGTGATCCAGTTTGGAAAACACATTGCATTATATGGAAGGAAGCCAATGAGCCAAGGGCCAAATCCTTACCAACAAATGATCATTGAATCATGGGATGATGGTGACTTGAGCATTTACACTCAAAAACCAAGATGGACCCTGAGGATGGCACCCTGAAAGACTGTTTTCCTTTACACCACACCGCACGGCTCGATCCCGCTCCACTAGCTTCCCTTGGCTTACGCCGGGTCAGTAATGGAACATGACAATGTCAACATGTCACTGGGGCACATAAATGTGTATTCAAGGTTGTGTCCCCCCCCTCTCAATATACATTTCCTGGTGTCGAGATTTCATTCCCGGGGACGTGATTTTGTACATTTTTTTACATGGAAGTTGTATGTTTCACGATATGGTGGATGTCCCCGGCCCCTTTTATACATTTTCCTGAAAAACGTATGCTTCCTCAGGGGGGTTTCCCCCCTGCCTTTTAAACACTATCCGAAAAAAGAAAATGATTTCCAACAAATTGTTCGACCCCATGGGTTCATAGAATTTGTGCTAGGGCTGCTAGAGTTTCCTGGGGTGCCGCAAATCCCCCCGGAGCCCGCAAACTTCCCCACAATCTTAGTAATTTCTGGTCGAGATCTACTGCAGCATTGTACCCCCTGGTGTGCATACATTTGGCCTAGCTTCTGGACCTGTCTCCCTCCAGTTCATACATTTTGGAAATCTTTTTTTGAGCCTGACCACTCCATTTCATACAATGCCAAAAATGTATCGGTGCATAGTTGAGTCCGCCCCCCCTGTGCATACAGTCAGGTCTTGAGCCACCCCCCGGCCAGAAACACCGAGGGAACAAGAGAAATGTATATGTATGTCCGTCGCGGCAGCCATAGAAGCAAGGAGCCCAAATATATAGTTATTTAAAGCACAAACAAAAACAACAACAAAAGTAAAGCAAACAAAAAAGTAAAAACACGTAGCTTTGCATTTGCCGCGGTTTTTTCCACATACTTTAAAATGTTCCGCTTTATTATTTCACATGTGTATGCATTGTTTTCAATTTGTGTTGCATTTTTTCCTAGGAGCGTGCAGCGAATATTGCTGACGGGTAAAAGTTCTCATAAGTGCAGAGATGGTACAGGAAAAAGCAAGAAATGCAACAAAAAAGCAAACTGCTTTGCTTTTGCATGTTCATTTGCTGTTGTTGTTTTTTTCACAAACATATTTACTGGTTGGCCATGTATAGCTGCAATTGCCAAACCTAAAGGTAGATTTTGTATTGAGATATCCTTTTTCTCTATGTTACACACCCCTGTTCGAAAATTGCTTTTCAACACCTGTCCCCCCCATCTGCATACATTAGCAGAATATGCAACCACCCCCTTCCTTTTGTGGAGATGGACCGGGTGATGTGAATATGATGCAACATGAAAAGTCTCGAACAGTGTCTAAGAGGTTTAAGACACTCAATAACAAGTGAAGCCTGCAAAGAAGCAAGATCCATTTCGAAATAAGTGTAAGTGAGAATCTGCCCAATGCTAGATGAACTGCTCCCAGACGCCCACTATGGGAGGCTTACAGAGAAAATCTGTACACTGTACACCTCAGCGTCGCGCAGCGACTGGGTTGTATGCAGCGAAGGAACAGACAAAGCGAAGTGGTCGGATGATGAACTCACACCCCATGGTGCTTTTCACATCTTTTCACTATGACAAGATAGCAAAATGACGCATTCATTGGCTCAGGCCGATCCCGATATGTAAGCGCCTTTTGGTCACGAAGGGACTTCACAAGTCACCAAAATAATCTTCAAACGGTTCACCATCAAGCACGACTTTCAGAGCGGAATTATCGTAAAAACCAAAGTTGGGAACCTCCGTACACCCTCTTGAAAGTCAAGTGAGTCGATTTCCAAAATCCAAAAACTTGACAAAGCAAACGAACGCTCCAAGCAAAGGTCCTATCACAGGGACTGTCCCAGCTTGGCTTCAAGAACTTCCAAACATTGAAGAATGTCTCCTCGTCACACTCTGCTAAATCAGGCGCTTCCTCGAAAAATGCCTCACTCACCTCTTGACAGACTTCTGGAAACTTGGCGGATTCGACCACGACTAAATAGAAAGTCTTTGCTATGATCATCTCATGGCTGGAGCATATCGACGTGGATAGTGTCATTGCGAAATCTGCACATCCATAAATGTATGTGAAGGCACGCCCGAGAAAGCTTGAGCCGCAGTGCCTGCTGTTTTCCTCTTCAAGCCATTAGGGTCCATTGGAGTTTGCAGTGGTGTAGTTTGACATAGTTTGACAAGAATAAACATTAGTTAAAAAAAAAGAAAAAACATGAAAAACACATATGTTGGGGGCTCTTCGCTTTTCTCCGCAATGCTTTTCCAGCTCATCAGCCTGCAGTCCTTTTCTGTCGGAGCTTTCTGGCATGGGCGTGTTTGGCCGCCAGATGATTGTTTTGTGTGTGTGTGTCTCAGGCCTAAATGGAATTCTACCTGACAAACTTGAGGCTTCGAAAGCAGATGCATTTGATTGGGTTTATTGAATGTTATTGACTATTTGACTACTGTATATTATAGGCAGAGGCAGATGCATTGTCTCGAAATGACCCGAATGTGTGTGTCCCCGTGGTTTCGTTTGCAGGATCTCAAGTCAGAGCTGAAGATCCTTCTTTGCCTGGATCACCCACATGTGGTCCGCCTTCTAGACGTGTATGTGAGTGACGACAAACTGGACATAGTCATGGAGTGCAGCTTGGTAAACTCGCAGAAACACTTCGCGTTCGAGGCCAACAGATCAGCACTTGGAATCGTAGAGGTGCAAAACCCTTCCAGCCAGTTCTGCCGGGCTAGTTTCATGCCACCAGACATAAAGTGACATATGACAACTGTGACATAACATAGCATATTCACTCTTTTCTCCGCAAACGTTTTGTGTGGTGCTAGGGGGGAAGCGCTGTGCATCGCTGTGCCCTCCTGGCCCAAGCCCCCTCCTGTGCCACGACTTCTGCAGAATATCTCCGATTTCCTGTTTGCCACAAAATCTGACTTTCAAGGTTGTTAAGCGTGACACCCCTGCACCAGTTTCCTTCCTTATCCTGGAGGAAAGCCCCGCTGACAAAATGTTTCTTTGAGAGATTGTGCCCAATTGTTCAACATGTTGTAGTCAGCAGCTCACCTCACTCCGCAGTTTACTCTCTCACCATCGATCAATTCCTTGCTGCTTTTTTCTGCATTTATGCCCAAGAAAGAACGCAACTTCAGAACTGGACACTTGTTTCAAGCGGCTCACGTTACAATGTGACTGATCTTAGGTATGCAAGGAGGTGAGCTCAAACGGTCCAGAACGAGACCTCAGATGGATGAAGAAGAGGCAACATGCCGTTCACACAGTGAAGTGGGAGGTCGACAGTGCATAGTGATTGGCAGGCAGCGCGCCTTCTTCGCCAGATGCTATTGGCTTTGAGCTATATGCATAGTCATGGTGTCATTCATCGGGACCTTGTGTTGCATTTGCTTAAGCCGATCATCTACATCTTGTAACTAGAGAAACTGCAAGAAAGATGACAGTCGTCAAATTGGAAGGACCTGAAACTCAGCAACTTCATGTACAGTCGAGACAGGCAAGATGGGGTGCCATAGTAGTGTGGAGGCGGTGACATCTCTCGCCTAAAAAGCCCTGACAAGGCAAGTCTTGAAGCTGATCGATTTTGGATTGAGCAAGTTCTACAATCGCCCAGCTGTGGCTTGGCAACATCCAGTGTGCCAAAAAGAGTTGTAATTATATAGGGATTCCAAACCATTCCAGCTGTGCTTGATGACAGAAGTGAGGACAGATACCATGGGGTGCTTGGCACTCAGATCCAGTGACTTCTCCATGAGAGTCTTTGGAGTTCATTTGTTCTCTTATAGGATGCGCACCTGCTGCGGGACGCTGGGATATGTTGCGCCGGAAGTAGGGGGCTTTGATGGGAATCTTCAGTTTTCACAAAGCTCAGCATTCTCAAGATACACCAGAAGTGTCAAAGCACCATGCGTGAAGGTTTTTGATGCTGCTTACACCAGTCAGTGCGACTTGCGTCTTGGCAAAATTTGAATACATGCCTAGTCTTCAATGGTAAAGCTTGGTTTCCGTGGACATCTCGGAATGGTTTCCCCAAGGGTTCTTGAATTGCCCCAACCCTTTGGGCAAATTAGGGGGGCAGGACAGGAACTATCTTGAATAACGGAGACCCTTTTGCATCCAATAGCTTTTAGTTCCTGCAACTTCACTACTTAGCTACCTCTTCACGGCCCACCTGGTTTCGTTAAAAAGTCTAGGAACCAAATCATTAGTGCAAGCTATCCTGCGTCCAGTAGGTGGTAGCTTAAGTAAGCTACTAGCGACTCCCTAGCTACTACCTCTACGGCCTACCCCCGCCGGGCTTGTAGCGTGGCACTTGTTCCTAGTAGCAAACATTGCTCCTAGGAGTAAGGCCAGGAGCCCCTAGTAGCTTCTTGCTCCTAGTAGTAAGGCACTTGTTTCTAATAGTTTCTTGTTACTACTAGTAAGGCACTTGTTACTAGTAGCGTGGCACTTGTTACTACTAGCTTCTTGTTACTAAGAAATTAAACACATAACAAGCACAATACATAAGTGCTTGGCAGCATTCGTTTTAGCCTCCAGGTGGAGCTTGGGCGTGATCGTGTATTTGCTATTGCTAGCAGCCCAGATGAGTCTGCTCATGGTTCAGTTTGGTTGACACTTACACGCACGCAAGAGTAATTGTGGTTCGACCGGCAAGGCAAAGACTATGTTGTAAACATGTCCCATGCTTGGCACCAAATTTTGCAAACAATGTTGTGTAGGATTTGGGTGATATCCCGTTTTTGACAGCCTGACAATCAGAACCAGTTCATACAGCATTATAGGGTCATTCCCTTTCAATGCTCCAAGTACACAGGACTTCCATGTGCCGCTTTACCACATTATATATATATATGTGCACATCCTCCTTGGACCTGACAAACAGGATGATAGTGATAGTCCCCATAAGAAATTAACACTCTCTTTGAGCAGCTTCTCTTGAAGGTCTTCTTGTTTGTTGAGCCATCCTTGACCCTCTCCTAAACTTCAAAACCAGTCAGAACACAGGTCAGGGGAAATGCCCTTTGTTGTCGCAAAGCTGCATTTCGTTTTGGCTGTGCCTAAGTAGCTAGTACTTGTTCGGGCATGGCTATGCAAAAGCTGCCTTAGGACACGAATGAAGATGTGCTGATCGCCAAGACGCAGCAGGGAGAGTATTCAATGAACCCAGATATTTGGATGGGTTTGTCCTTGGAAGCTACTGATTTTACCCAGGCTTGGGATAGAACAGAACAGCATTTTCACAAAGGTCGTGGTTTGCAAACAGCACCATTCATTACTCTAGACTATTGTATAATATACGCTATTTAGGTTGGAGGTCACCGCTACTAGGTTGGAGGCCATCGCTCTTAGTTTGGAGGCCATCGCTACTAGGTTGGAGTTTATGTAATATACACTATCCTGAGGCGCTCTTGAGAGTGGACCCTGAGAAGCGAATGACTGCAGAGGAGGCGTTGCGGCATCCCTGGCTCAAGGTGGGTGTATGTAGTGTTTCGGACAAGCAGAGCCCTAGACTATATGTTGAAATTCATGCCTTTTTGGTGTTTGGAGCTTCTCCGGATTTGTTAGCTCATAGGCCTCTCTTCCTCCAACAGCCCTTTGGATGCATCCGTTACCTGTAGGAGTTTCCCTTGCTACATCCTTTTTGCCCAAGGTCAAGGATGTGTCCCAGTCAATCCTCGAGGATTTGGGTCACTTTGCGGAGCAGACACCCTTGCGCCGGTGCTTTAGGCGGTTGCTTTTCAGCTGCACTGGAATTAAGAACAGGAAGGAAAGCAGAATTTGCTTTGGCCATGATGAAATGCCATTTGCTCAGGATGGCCATTGGCTTGGATGATGAACAAACGCATGAGCTGCGAGAGGCAGACACGCATATAGAGGAACCATGAGGAACCTCATTCGCTGTGCAGTTCTTGTAGGCAACCATCCCCCCACCTCAACCACAAATGCATGAGCCCCTCGGCTCTCAGCTCCCAATCTTTAAATTCACTGTGTCACATCTAGCTCGTTTGAGCCAATCTAACGCATGGTTGGCTACAACTTGACTTACTGATACTAATGGACTGGCCAAGGCTTCTACTAAAGACAAAAGGAAAAGGGCCTTGGACATGGGACAATGCAACGCTGCGGGAACAAGAGGAATGATAGCAGAAGATGAGACATCCAATATGAAGCAAAGTTTCTGTGAGGGCCAATGATCTTCATCACGATTGTTTGCAAGGCTTAGTAAGGTATAATAACATTGTTTGATAGTGCCATACTGATAAATTGAGATGTCAACAATGCAGCACATTTGCAGGCCTTTCTGGATATGGACATTCATCATCGTGGGAAGATTACAGCTGCAGAGTTGGAAAAGATGCTGACTCAAAAGCTTTTCAGCTGAGAGGAAGAGAAGAGAGTTCGAAGTTCTAGAATTTTGGTTGGCTTTCGCTTTTGCCTTGTAGCGGCCTTTGCAGTAGTACCCTTGGGCGCATACTGGTCTTCCTTGCAGGCTTGAGTGGGATCCAGATAAAGCCAAAGATGCCACAAGAGCATTGGATTTCACTGGAGATGATTCCGCTGCGTGCCTGCACTTGGTTGCGCTCATGATGAAGTGCGGCGAGACACTTTCAACTGTGATTTCCCCATCGCACAGGTTCATTTTTCCGAATTTTTGGCAGCGTTTCTCGCAAGCAAGATAAGAATCTGTCAAGCTTTGGTCAGATAGCGTTTCACTCTACTCTACTCCGTGATGAGTATGCCATATGCCAAGGACTTATCCAACCTATAAATCAGAGGATTCTCTCTTGAGAGCAACATTTAGGAGGCTTGACCGTGAGGCGGAATCCAGCTCGGACGAAAAGGCTAGTTGATTTTGGCTCCTTTCAAGTTCCTCTTTGAAACCAGGAAAGATGGAATAATAGTGAAACATTACCTTGTGTGATGTACTCGTAGGCCAAAGGGCACATCAGCATTGATGACATTCATGCGTTGGCCGGCTGGAGAGAGCTAAGAGCTGATCCAGCAGGAAGGCTGAAACTTGGGTGCAAGAAGAGATGTCAGGTCTTTCCTTTGCTGGGAGCCCTAGTAGCTTCTTGCTCCTGTAGTACGGCCAGGAGCCCCTAATAGCGTCCTTGCTCCTAGTAGCGATGCCAGGAGCCCCTAGTAAGTAGCTTCTTTGGATTGTCCATGTCTATTCTGGTCGATTTATTCACGTCCCTTCTCTAGATTCTAGATTGGATAGATTCAGACTTGGATCCAGGCTGGAGTGGCTTCAAGCGTCAGGAGGCACCAAAGCTATGCAACGTTCACACTTCTATACACTTTGACATTTGAAACCACAATCAGCGCAAACACGACAAGCCACTGTACCTTGGGAAAGGCCGCCGCATTCATTTTCCGCAGTTCAAAGCATACCTGCATGGTGAGCCGGACCGATCCCGCTGTTTGATTCGAAGATGTCTCAACACAAAAGCTTTGAACTGCTTTCAACCGAAGATGCTCATGCTTTATGCATTGCAGGATTTTCCTCAAACCCCAGTGAAGAGTTGCTGCTGTGTACAATGAGCTGCTGGTCGCGGTCAATGATATGGATCGAAGTGACAAGCAAAAGCTTTTCTGACGTTTTAGCACTCGAGTCAAAGTCATGTTGTCCAGCTACATTTACATGTTCACCAAAAAGTCTCTCCTTGTACAGCCTACTTTATTTCGTTCTTCTCATCTACATTCGACAAAACCTGGGCAGACTAAAGTAGTCACACGGTGGAACGTGAGATAGGACACCTGCATGAAATCTTCACAGCTGATTGGGGCCGACTATTCTAGATCATTGTGGTTTGTGTCCTTAGGCTAGACGCCAGATTTCGTCCAACACTCACAGGGGCTCGAGGCATTGACAGATGCACACTCCAGTTCTGAGTCATCCAATTGATTTCAAACCAAATTCGTCTGTAAGACCGCTTTGTACAGTTCTTGCCACACACTCAAACAGAGTGTGATACTCGTACATTCGGAGAACGGAGAAGCGTCGCAAATGTATCGCGCAATACTTGCAAAACATTTGAGCAACCTTGCTTGTCTCACAGATAGGGAGTCAAATCTGTTCAGCTTCCTGTTCCAGGCCTTGCCTGCTGAACGCGGTGTTCAATTCCTGGGCTTGAGCATGGAATCTTAGGCTGCTCCACAGCTCCCAAACCAAGCTGGAAACCTTTTGCATTTGACATTAATACTGGGTGCCGAAATTACCTCTCAGGTCTTTCAACTCCATCAGGAACGTTGAGAGAGGCTTTGACAGGGGAGGCCGGCCCAGACGGGCCTTATGACGCTTAGCCTTTTTTGAGAAGGTATCGCTAGGCAATGTACCTGGGTTTGTTATGGTTTGTTCTTAAACGTGTCCAGTTTGTGTAGGGCTGGGATGTTCGACTTGGGCGAAGCATACCCCCGAAGCATACCCCATAGTCAAACATCCCGTCCTGGGAATCAAACAGATACAAACCTATGTAGCCACGTAGCCTTCATGCATTGGGTTCTTCTGCAATTTCAATCCGCAGGTGGAAGGCCTGGCAGCGCTTCATCCTGGGAACCTGCTGCTTTGGAGAGGTTTGGACTCGGATGGTTTGGCATTTCGGAGTGCTGGCCTTTTCACTTTTGCACTCGCCAGCTGCCCCAACTGACTGATAGGTTGTGCATCTGTGACATCAGATCCGATGCTAGCAAAAGAGGCCGTGGGGAGATTGTATCAATTTGTAGGCTGAGGTGCCCGTTTGGAGTTTCCATTTTGCAGGCTGCACTTGAAAAGGGCGTATCCCTTGTGTTCAAGGCGGAGAACCGTGAATGGGATGTTGGCATTGATGAATCGAACACAATTCTGAGGACAGTCTGAGCTTGTGTTGCTGCGTGAATTGAGATGCTGCAGGTTCGCAGCAGCTGCTCTCGTGACGTCGCAGCGTGCGCTTTGCAGACGGAAAGGCTTCGCTTCGAATATACCAAGAAAGATGCCTCACATTCAAATTTGACAAGGTACTCGCCTTCACCCGACTTGCAAGAACGACTGTTGCCCCCAAGGCTTCAAAGTTGAGATCAAAAGATTGTGAAGCAGCGAAGCTGTGCAAGCTAACTTTGCCGGACCTTGCAGAAGTATTTTTTGACCGCATGTCCACTCAGCAACACCGAGTACTGTGCAGCTACGGGGTCTTACAACAAACTCAATCCGTGAAAGATTCTTGAAAGCTGTTCAGAGACACAAGAAGATCAACTGAAAATTACGAAGCAGACGCAAGTTGTCACAATTAATGGGTGTTCGTTTGTTTCTACTGTAACGCATGTTTGCAGGAAGTCAGTTTTTGAATGTGTGGCGTACTATGTTTCAAAATTAAGTGATTGTAGATTGGGTTGGGCACCATTGTCGGGACGCAAGAGGATCAAGCCCAACATAGGCCCATCTAGGGAACAAACTCAAGAACAAAACGGTTCACAGTCAAGCTGTTGTTTGTTACCTGGGGGAAGGCTGGAGCACGAACTTGAAACCCAGCAATTTACCTGTTCAGAATTTTCAATGCCTGCTTAGCTGCAATTGGCTGCATGGACATTATCCCTCACTTGCAGGCGCTGCTTCAGGGTAGTTGGCATTCATTCCATGGAGGACCTCAAAGATCATTTTCATGCACGTGGGTGTTTCGGCAATTTGGAAACTACTTGCAAATGAGCAGGATATGATTCTCCAGCGAGGAACTGCATCCGCAGGCCTGTGCCCTCAGACATTTGCGCACTGCACTTTTGCACTGATTGACGTGTCAGCCTGAAAGATCTGAAGGCTGAGGAGCAAGGACGCTACTAGGGGCTCCTGGCCATACTACTAGTAACAAGAAGCTATTAGAAACAAGACAAAGCCTTCTATGCTATGCATGGTGTTTCGCAGCTCACTCACCGTGCAATTCTGTTGATTCTCCGTAGTGCAGGTCAACTCGAAAGACTTACAGTATATACCGGTATATACTCTGCGTTTTCTATCTGGCTGGATCGATTTTGGCAATGTGAGTGTCACATGCAGCAGCAGGCAAGGCCACTGAGCTGCTGGAGGCATTCGAGGCACTCTTTGTGACACAATAACACAAGGCTATCATGTTAGTGATATGTTTCGGCCATAGTGCAAGTTACCATTTCGCAAACATGCACAGTACGTCACACACGCAACATGTGTGGCATGTGTATGTCACAGTGAGAATGTCACAGTAGTGATTGTACTGGACAATGTTCTCCGGCATATCCATACAGCAGGATGCAGGAGAAAGATATGCTGCACCTTAATGTGCTGCTACGGTATCATAGCTTCTTTCGTACGCTTTCGCCAGGTCCCCAATGTGGGCTCGCTTGGCTCCTTTGGCGCTTTGGCATGGGAGGTGCAGTGCCAAACACCCATTGATTGAATGTGCATGTTGCTCATTGCTGCAATTTTCTCTTTAAAAGACTCCAGATTCATTTGATGGATACACAGAAGCTCCGGGTCTCTAGAAACATGCCAGGGTGAATGAAATGCACCTCTCGACCTTCATCCATTTTCCACTCTTTGTGTTGGGGAGACCCTTCGATTCCTGGACTTTGTCAGCCACGCTGTGACATTGTTAGATCTGTTGAGGAATATAGAATATTTAATATTGCAGTATATGTTTTAAACCATTAGATTTTTGTTAAGGAGTCTTAGATGGTGCAGGATTTGTCCATCCGCTGTTTGGGGCAAAGCAATCGAGATGTGAACCTTATGCTTTTAGTTCACTCCGTTTGCTTCATTTGACGGAAACTCATCTCTCGACTGTCCTTGTCTAATTTGGCAAAATAGGTCACTTCAGCCACTTCAAGTGGCCAAAGTGACCGAAGTGGGCATCAGGTAGATTGATGTTGATTGAGAAGAGATACAACTCTAAGGCGCTTAAGATAAGGTCGGAGTGGCCGAAGAACGTTGGAGAAGAGATTCGAGGTTTAAGGAGAGAAGAGAGGTTTCAAGAGAGGAGAATCTGTCTGAAAGGCAAAATGCAATCCCGAACTTTAATGCAGGAACTTTAAACAACATTACCGATATCGCCTTGTCTCAGCTGAGAGAGGTAGTATCTTACAACATCCCAAAACCGACAGGTAGACTTCAAAGCGTCCAGGCGATTGACCAGGTTCCAACTGGTGCGTGGCATCGTTAATGGGGAGACGCCCAACCAATGAGTTTTTGGCCTTTGCAGTTTCATGCAGTCGACGACATGCAGTGATGGTTGGGTTTTGGTCTATTTTCCTTCTGCCAGGGGGTCGAACTGGGAGGTCTCCCTATTCTAATGCACACCCATTTGGAAAATGCTTGTTGAGTGATACTCCGATCCCCCAAGGGTTCTTCTGCAGAAAGTGCTGCTTCTCTAGACTGGTCGTGTAGAGGTGTAGAGAAACAGCACTTGGGCGACTTCTGAAGTTGAAAGCGACGCGCTTGGCGCTTCTACATCTGCAAGATCGGGTGTTGTTGGTGTGCTACTTCAGACACTCTGCTTGTCTGGAGTCTGGAGTTGCACTTCTAGATTCTAGACGTGCAATAGGCGTTATTGATGTGTCATTTGCTCTCATCGCTGGGGTCATGCTTATATATGCATATTTTTCTTGGGGTCTTGCTACAGCGAAATACACATGCAAACATCCATCGTAGCATCTGAGTAGCTCACTTGCGCATGCGTAACGTACAGACCTCGTACCAATGTAGCACGCGCTCCGGCAGCTTCATGGGAGCTCCGGCTGGCCATTCAGTAATACAAATGCAGGAGTAGCGTTTGGGCTTCAGGCTCAGAACTGGCCATTTTGTAGCGCAAATGTCGGGGGCGGCTCAGACATGGCCAGTTTGTGGTATATTATGGTATATTAAATATAGTGTGCGGAGTAGCTTCTGGATCTTTTGGCTATCTTGTGCAAATGTAGTGCGCAGAGTAGCTTCTTGGGGCCCAGGCTCAGAACTCGCCACTTGTGCATCTCAAGTAGCATGGCATAGCGGCATAATATCATAGAATCATAGCATATCAGCAACGCCCAATCTCGCAGATGCCGAAGTGTCGCTCGTGGTATTTGCAACCAGTAACCATAGAAGAAGCCGATCTCAAGGACCAGGCTTGGAAGTCCGTGCACTTCTTTTATCTTCTTTTCCTTTTGATGTCCCTGACCCTCTTGGCCATGTCTGCTGCCTGCACCCTCTGGACCTCTTCGCCATTCGACAGGTACACGCCGCCTTTCCACATGTGTTGTCTCAACGCTCCCGGGCCACTCGTCGTCTCGTCGTATTCTTGCAGATGGCAATGCCGCCAGGAAGGAATGCTTGAGTAGGTGGTGTTGGGTTTTCCAAAACCAAAGAGTGGGAAAAAGGCTCCTTTTGGGAGGTCAGCGGTCAGCGGGTTGAGGTGGGATGCCAATATGTAGATGGACCAGAAGGCCTAAGTGCTCCTATCAGGAACAAATGAGGTATAAGGGCCTCGTTTCGTCAGGTAGGGCACATCACCAATTTTGGCTTGGTGTTCGAGGTCGAAACTTAGCTCGTTTCGGGCTCGTGAACT